GCACTGAATTCTAAAGAGTGGAATTTGATTCTCAGGTCATTTTTTCCCTAACCAGGTCAAAATCTAAGTCCAGTGTATGGATAGATTGCCATATTTTAAATAGATCATGCTCTTGATCCAGTTTGCTACTGCTTGGGTGACATAGTACAAATGTGGTCATTTGTTCTAAAGGGACTGTGGGTGGGCTGTTTGCCTCAGGAGGAGGTGAGAGTGTAAGGCCTCATAAATTTAGTGGTACCTCAGGTTAGACAAGTCAAGACCACATAGCTATACATGCGAGAGGGCTTTTTTTCCATACCAACTCTTTTTCTTTTCTACTTCAATGCTTCCATTGAAATAAAGTTGGATAGGTTAAAATTTTTTACTTGTTGATTAAAAAGAGCCTTTCCATATGTAAAGATTTTTCAGATATTGCTTACTCCACAAAATAAAATGTCAGGGGAAAAAAACTCATTTATGTTATATAGATGAAAAATATGCTAGCAGAAAGCTTAACTGCTGATCTGGGTCTCCTACTAACTCCTCAACCTCCCACCCCTTAAACCATAATGTGATGGGATTAGGATTCACAGAGGGAACTTTTAAGTGAGGAAGGAGAGAAAAAAAGTGAAAAATGTTATTTTGAGTTTGGAATCTCTAAAGAATTTTTTTTAATAATTATTTATTTCATTTTTTATTTATTCATTCATTTATTTTTTAATTTGACCAGAAAGAGACAGAGGGTGAGAGTGAAAGAGAGAGGAAGTGAGTAAGCAAGTCACCAGATTCAGGACTTGAACCCTGGTCGGCCATGTGGGAGTGTCCAGAGCCTTAACCACCACACCACCTGCTGGTCCCCTCTAAAGAATTGTTTTAAGCTTGTATTGCCTTTGTTTTTTAAAAATTATATATTTAATTTCATTATTATTATTTTAAATTTATTATAGGCCATGCATGCTCACCAGAGAGAGACAAGTGAGGGGAGGGGAGTGATAAAGCAAGCTTTCTCATCTGGAATTTGAACTGTGGTCAGCCATGTGGGAGTCCAGGGCCCTAACCACCAAGCCACCTGCTGGCCCCTTGGATTGCCTTAAGAGCTGGATGTAGTCAGGAGGAGCTCAACATGGCAAGACTAGCATCTTATAAATCAGATGAGGAGCATGATATGATTAGAACAGAGAAGGTAGCTACCATGTTTCATAGACATACTCTTCTTGAAGTTTGGCAATGCTACTGGCTGCTACCAGTTCTGTGGATGGACAACTGGAAACTTGATTCAACATGAAAGAAGTGGTGTGTGTGTGTGTGTGTGTGTGTGTGTGTGTGTGAGAGAGAGAGAGAGAGAGAGAAAGAGAGAAAGAAAGAGAGAGGGAGAGAATGACAGAGAGAATGAGCAAATCCTCGAGGCCTGGATAATTTATGAACATACTAAAATACTGACAGATTTCTACAACCACATTTGAAAACCTATCATTTTTTTTCATTGTTATTCCAGATAAGCCTCAATTTTGTGTAAAAGAAATATTCTTAGGACATCATCATAATAACATCAACAACTGTCATGACCTATTGAATGCTGCTGTAATTTATTATATATGTCCTATATTCAGATCTTTAACACTAAAAATAAATGGTTGGTATTTTCTTTATTTTACAAAGTAGAAAGCTGAAGATCAAAATGTTAAAATTGTTGGGTCCCATATAGTCGACCGTGGTTCGAGTTCTGGACCTAGTGGGTTAAATTCACGCCAGGTGCATGTGCGTGTGTGCCTAAGATCCTGAGAGGAGAATGGAGGAGAAGGGATTGTGGTGTGGCCATCCCTCCTGGGGGGTGATTTCTCACTTTCTGTCTCTCTCTGTCTTTCTGGTGAGCACACATACCCTGTAGTGAAAACCTCTACCAAAAAAAAAGAAAAATGTTAAAATTGTCTACCTCTCATATGCAGTAAATGATGGAAGAAGTGGCTTTCAAGCCTATCTGTCAAAGATGTAATAAAACTTGTATCTCTGAGCCATGCCATGTAGCCTACTCACGGTCTATTGTAATATGGGGATAAAATTCTTTTGGGTGGGTAAGGTAGTTAAAAGTTAACAATTGGAAAAAAAGTTATCAATTGAGAGATTTTTGAGAGTTCCTGCTCTACTCATGATACACACATTGAAAATTATGTACAGTTACTTGTACAATGAATAAATCCTATTGTTAGAGACTTCAGTCAATTCTGTTTAGAAATTTTCCTCTGTCTTCTAGACTGTCCCACCAAGTCTATCACAGAGAAGCCTCTTCTTCCTCTAGGCTTCCATCATTCTTTGCACAGCCTTCTTTTAGAATGCTTATCTCACAACTGTGAAGGTGGTTATTTGTGTATCTTTTCTCCTTTGTGAGGTAGGGTTGTAAGTTTTTAAAGGGTAAGAACACTTGTCTTAACACTCTGCAGTCTACCTTTTGTTCTGCATTTACAGCATACTTTTGAAATGTGTTATTCAATAGGTGGGTTTAAGAGATAATTGGCCCACAAAGGTAGGAAGTACTTTTCCTGATAGGCCCTTGCAGCAGAGAGAAACTGAGTGAAATTAGTACGGTAGGGGTATTATTTAATCTAACAAGTTTCTATAAGAAAATGTCCGGGCTAGCTGTTTTTATAAAACCTTATTTATTTCACCCATTCTGAACCTGACAATTCTGATGCTCAGGTTAATCATTCTCTATTAACTGCGTCGTTCTTTGAAGGGAGCAAAGTAAGATAGCTTCCTGAAATCCAAAAGGGATAAAAATAAAAAGTGGAAAGAAAAGACAAGGGAAGAGGACAGGAGGGAAGAAGAAGAAAAGGGGATAGGAACAGGGGCAGGTAAGAGGAAAGGATGGAAAGAGGGCAGGAAAATGGGAGGAAGGAACAAAGAAAACGGGGAGGATTGACTTTAACTCTCAGAGATAAATTGATTCAAGCTTCTTTTTCTTTAAAAGTAACTTGAAGAGATTTCATATTTCCACAGATCACATGAGGCCAGGAATTTTAGGTTTCTATTTGATCCTAATTGTATGCTGTCATCCATGAGGGAAATTTCACAAATTGGTTCTTCTGTATCGCCAGCCAATCTATTCTCTGATGAAAGAAGGAGACTAAATTCTTATAGGAAGATCGTGAACACTTGGTGAGGAGGAGGATGCTTTGGTTCTTTTCAAAGGAGCAGCTGAAGAGGATTTCTCCCTGACAGGGCTATGCAGAGTACATTTCTGTATCCTGGAATATGGGTGGCGGGGAGCAGAAGAAAGAGCAGATACATTGTGATTTCAATTAAATTCTCTTTTGAGAGTAAGGCATTAGGTAGGGGGAAGTTGTTTTAACAGACCACATGCCATCCTTGAGGTATTTTCTTGGCCATTTTCCAGGTGACGAATATCAACTATTTCCCCTCTTTTCAAGACACAATCATATCATCCCATGGCCTTTATTTAGGCCCTTGTTTCAGGTCTGTAGTTGACCTAAAGTTATTCCAGTACCCTTGGAAATTTCTCAGTAATTATCTCATACTCCTCTTTCCAAAGAGAGGCTGTTTGACTTTTTTTCTTTTTTGGATTTCTGTGATATCTCTCTCTGTTTTCAATATGGATAAAGAGCATTAGCAATGTCTTATATTATGTGCATTTTTGACAATTGCCATTTAGGTTCCTTTATATTTATATATTTGTTTTTCTTTCTCAGGAATGATGCTGTATTTTTGAGGAATTCATAAGCAAAACTGAATTTGTTTTAGTTAACTCCCTCTTTGGAATATTGTCGACTTATCAAAATAGTACAAAGAGTGTCTGTCTGGAGTGAGAAGACTTGAACTCTAGTTTTAGATCTGCTACAGACTAGTTGTTTGGCTTGGAGGTCTCTCCCAACTGCTAAGAATCTGTGATTCTCTCTAGTCAGACCATCAGAGGAAAATACTGCAGCATTCTCCTCCACATGTTGTGTGGTAAGTAGAAAACTGAAATCTGCTGTAAGATTATTTTTGTAAGATTATATTTATGCTCTAGAGATATCAGTTGTCAGGGATATGATAGGAATTTTGAGATAAGCCTCAATTTATTTGAGCTAGTCCATGATGATCCACAGTATTTGTAATAATTTGTTTTCAGAGTTCTGTGAAAATTTTTTTTTTTATGAGTAGGTGTTTGACATAGATTATAGCTAAGTAGGTTATTTATATCAATTAGAATGCACATGTGGATAAAAAGGTGGGCAGTAGGGGAAAAGAGAAAGTCTTAGTTTATGTAGATTGTCTCAGAGAAGGAAATTAGTTAAAGGACATGCTGAGCATAAGATGGGAGTTTAGATGGTATCTGAGGAAAAGTTATAGCCATCTATTAAGACAGGTACTGAGAGAATAGAGCAGAATTATAGCTAAGTAGGTTATTTATATCAATTAGAATGCACATGTGGATAAAAAGGTGGGCAGTAGGGGAAAAGAGAAAGTCTTAGTTTATGTAGATTGTCTCAGAGAAGGAAATTAGTTAAAGGACATGCTGAGCATAAGATGGGAGTTTAGATGGTATCTGAGGAAAAGTTATAGCCATCTATTAAGACAGGTACTGAGAGAATAGAGCAGGTAGATGGGAATAGATTAATAAGAAGACACAATTCTCACCCTAGGCTAAGGTCTAACAGGTGAGATTAGTATTTCTGGTTTCTAATAGTCAATTCCTTAATAAACAAATCATACTATACCCAAAGTTTCTCAATAAATAAATCATATTATACCTAAACTTCCTGCAAGACACCCTATATAGAACAGCTTCAGAAACCACTCTAATGTCATTTATTATCCCTGTCATTTGACAAGTCCAGAAATTTCCCAGAGCTGATTTGTTATGCCTGGAAAAGTATGGTTTCTTCATCAATATCAAAGTAATAGAGAGCCAGTCAAGTGATTGTCCACTTTCCTCCAAGACAATAAGTTGGGAGAAAAAGAAAAACACTTTATAACCCCCGTAAGAGACATGTGGCTATGAATTTTTCTCAAGTTGTCTTCAAATAACTTTCTTTTCTATGGAATTAAGTCAAAATTTAATTAGAATTTTGAAAATCAAAGAGAAGTCAAGGAATGAAAGTTAACTGTATCAGAAAGCATTAGATCTTTAGGCAAATAATGACACTCACTGGAAAGGAGAAATGATCTTTCCTTTATAAGAAAAATAAAATTATGAAAATTATTCACCACAAGGAGGCAACTGCACTAAACATTTAATTGATCCAGGTGCAGACATGGGTAGAAATCTTCAGAGCATTTGTTTTTAGTTCTCCCTCATTTTCCCTATAGTTTTTAGTCATAAACTCAGCTGGATACATATTTTCTAATTAAATTATACATAATTTTTCTAATTATGTATCCTATACTAATACAGAGCTGGAACATATATATCAACTCTTTGTTATCTTATTGATAGTACTGGTTTAACAAATGTATAAAAAGCCATAAATACACAATTCCATTCAAGTATTACTTGACCACTCCACATTTACTTAGAAGAGAAAAACAGGAAATCTAAATATAGGGAGAAGTTGAATGCTTGAAATGTAATTTTTTGGCGATCTTTATGATATTCTGGGTTGCATAGAAAAGTTGTCAATGTAACATTTGAGGGAACTCAAAGTTGTTATAATAAAAAACTAAATTTTTGAACCAAACACTAGGCCAAGTATGCTGAAGACATGAAATTATTTAGAAGAAGAAAAAGCTACGTTGTGAGGTGGGATTAGTTGGAGAAGTCTGTTTAAGGCAGAGCAGTTTTGAGTCTTGGAGGAACTGAAGGGTAGAGTTCAACAAGGATTTGAGGAGTAGGATTTTGGATTGGAGTATAGGATAAGCCCAGAACCTGCAGCAAGACAGAAAAGGGATAGTTCATGTCTGGGAAAGAAGGGCTTCTGGATGGAACAGGCTAGAACACAGGAGAGCATAGTCTCTCAGGGTGAGGATTTACAGTTAAATCTAATTCTGAATAACTTCACAGGATGAAGCACCACATTGTTAATAACAGACCTTTTACTTGCTTCTTTTCTTTTGCTATTTAACTGTTCACAATGTAATGTATATGAGAAAGAACACAGAATCACAAAACAAAAGATTTTGCCTGTGGGTATGCCAATCAATAGAGAAAGAACAATGATACTTCTCTAAACTCTATTCAGAAATCTCTAGTTATTATGTTGGAGACTTTTGTCTTAACAATCAACACAAAAGGTATTTTCTCATTTTCCTTTATAGCATTATGCAATTGGCTAGCATGGTCATATCCTCAAACTTCTCTGTCACATATTTTGTTTCTTTTTATTTATTCTTACCAGCCATTAAACACTTTATTCAGAATGTTTGTTTGTTTATTTTCTGATTTTTATTTCTCCTTTCAAAGAAAAGAAAATAAAGAGGGGAAGATTACTCAGAAACACTTTCAAGAAAAAAGGGGAAGAGAAGTTGCTGAAATAGAAAACTATACATTTTATGTAACTATTTATTGTGCTATGATATAAAATCTTCCCTAGACTCAGCTGCCCAAGTGCTGAGTAAAGGACTTATATTAGAAAGAAAAAAGCCTATTCCAGAGCAAACAAATCTTGATGCTTAATTCCAACTTTTGTTTTTTCCAGACTGTTTTGTGAATAACATGCAGCCAAAAAGTATTTTTCTTCTTTAGCCTCTTTTTTTGAAACTTTGTTACTTTTTATTGTAAGGATGTTTATTACCTACTCATTTATTCTCTAATTTACTTTTTGAATTATGCATCCCAATGTCTAGATGACTGGGCCCATTAGGTTTCATATTTCCCAGATGCGATTGGTTATACAACTCATTTGCAGATTTACTCAGAGCACTTTAATAGCATTTAATTTCTAGATGACCATTGTTTGGTTCAAAAAAATTGAAGGTTTTTTCTTAAGTTTATTTATTTTATTTTTAAAAGAGAAAAACAGGCACTTTTAGGGTCTCATATGCTGTGATCTGTGCCCCTCCCCCCCATCTTCTAGCCAGCCAAGATAACATGTGTGTATGTGCCTGTTTCAGGTCAACCTAGGATCCAAGCACAGTCTTCCACAGTTTCCTGCCCCATCTTCCTCTAAGAAGGTTAGTCCTCTTTTATATTCATGTTAGATTGCTCATTAACTAAAAATCTGGTTGATTATCTATTGGGTATTGGGCATTTTTCTCTGTTTGTAAAGGCAAAATATAAAATGTTATTAAGAATTATAACAATAAAAAAGAAATGTGAGCGCAAATGTGAGAAATGGATGATTCAAACCAGAATACATAGGGAACTCAAGTGCCTTATGCGAAAAAAAAAGATTAACCCAATTAAAAGATGGGAAAATGAGCTGAACAAAAATCTCTCTAAGGAAGACATACGAATAGCCAAAAAGCATATGAGGAAATGCTCAACATCCCTCATCATAAGGGAGATGCAGATAAAAACCACAATGAGATACCACCTAACCCCTGTCAGAATGGCAAAGATTAAGAATATAAAAAGTGGTAAGTGTTGGCGGGGATGTGGTGAAAAGGGAACCCTCCTACACTGTTGGTGGGAATGTAAACTAGTTCAACCACTGTGGAGAACAATATGGAGGTTCCTCAAAGATCTACAAATAGAACTACCATTTGATCCAGCAATCCCACTTCTGGGTATTTACCCAAAAGACAGGAGAACGCTCAGTCAGAAAAGTGCTTGCACATCCATGTTTATTGCAGCATTATTCACAATTGCCAAGACATGGAACCAACCTAAATGTCCACAAACTGATGAATGGATTGGAAAAGTGTGGTATATATACTCTATGGAATACTACTCAGCCATAAAAAATAACAAGACCCTGGAATTTGATAGAAAATGGTCAGATATGGAGGATCTATTGCTGAGTGAAGTAAGCCAGGCTATGAAAGAAAGAAAGAAAGGTATTGTATGTATCCACATAATATATACCAACTATCCACACTCTATGGTGGAGAGCAAAATATTGGAGAACATAAAAGCAGTGAAAATACTTAAGGAGAATAAGACAGTGTGGAATGGGGGGGTGAAGAGAAAAGGATAGAGAAAGATAGCAAGGGAGATTAATGTCTTTGTACTGACTGACATGCATGGCATTCCCTTTTGAAAAAGCAATGTAATACACTGTAAAGTTATATGTAATCCAATGTAATATAAAGAAGATTATGATGATAAAAAAAAGAAATGGATGATTCAGAGAGGAGTAAACTGACATAGCCAATTAACATTTGAAGAGATGCTAACTCTCACTGGTAAACAGATATGTGCAAAATAAAGCAATAAGTTTCAATTATTCACTTATAAAATTGAAAAAAATGAAAATATCTGATAACATAAGAGTTGGTGAAGATGTATGTCAGCCCAGGGGACCAGCAGTTAGCATAATGGCTATGTCGCTGGACTCCCATGTAGTGAACCGCAGTTTGCGTCCCAGACCCGGTAGCTTAAAACTCACGCTGGGTGCGTGTGCGTGCGTGCCCAAGATCCCGAGAGGAGAATGGAGGAGAAGGGATTGCGGTGTGGCCATCCCCCCTGGGGGGTGATTTCTCGCTTTCTGTCTCTCTGTCTGTCTCTGTCTGTCTGGCGAGTGTACACACACTATAGCGAAAACCTCTCAAAAAAAAAAAAAGATGTATGGCAGCTCAAACACATTGTGAACAGTAATATAATGATCAAACACATTCTAACCTAAAGAATTGATAAGAAGTTTGGAGAATCCAAGTTGGACTTGAATAACTGAAGACAAAACCAAACCAAGACCTTGTAGTATATCAATAAATGGAGGTTTCTCCTTCTGGTGTATGTTAGATTATGGAGAATGTAAAACATTCAACTTTCTCCCTTTTTTTGATTTTGTACTTTACTGCATGTTTCCTTTAGTTTTAATCAGTCAAGATTAAATTGTCCTTAAAACAAAACAAAACAAAACAAAAACTTATGATAGCATCCTGTGTTAGGATCTCTTTGCAATTATTGATGTCGCTTGCTGACGCAGTTAGAAGGAAAGGCGATAGCCAGATACTACTCGTGAAACCTAACTGACTAAAGAGATGTTAAATGTCATTTCAGATATTTTACTTTTTTTGATACGGCTTTATGCTATATAGTATTTTATTCTCTAGGTTAGGAATAAGTATAACTTTTTTTCCTGTTTTGAAAAAAAAAAATCATTCTCCGAATCATACAGGGAAGTGATGGGTCCTATTTTCCATTTTGACAGCTCTCATATTACCAAGAACAGATGTATTCCAAAGGTGGGGTGACCCTAATAATCCATGTCTATACAGAAGCAAAGTGAAACAATGTAAAGAACAGAAAAAGGGGAAGGAAACAGTGCTGCTGGTATGTCACTTTTAGAGAATTATTTTTATTTTCCTAGCATCCTGCTGGAAAACATTTGACTGGGTGCTTGCCAAATTGCTGCTGCATTAAAAAAATGTGACTGAGTTCCACTTTCAAAATCTATGCTAATAAGAACTTCACCTTAGGCAGAGTTGAGTGTTAGCGTCTGTGCGCCTATAATACTTTAAACATAGTTCTACTGCGGCCTAATAATGTATTGTTCATTTATTTTCCCAGTGGGTGGTGGTTATTTTTGACGTCAGAAGGTTTTATTCACTTTCTGGGCCAGTGGCGAAATATGACCATCTGAAGGGCTGACCCACATGGGCAAGTTTCAGGTTTCGTCTGAAGATCTACCTCCCTGAATGTGCCATGATTACCTGATATCAGACCGGCTAACTAACGCTGCGGTTGGCTTTAGCATCAGGACCCTACTGAGGGTACTATCTCTCTATCTCTCTGACTTAATAGAAAAAATAAATAAATAAACCTTAAATGTTATTCCTATATCCCCAGTAGGCTAAGATCAAGTATAATATCCCCGGTATCTAACTTTGTGCTAGCAATCACTAGATAAATGGTGATAGAATAAGTAGAATAAATGTGAAACTTATAGAAACATTTTTAATGCCCTAAAATCCTGTTCTGCTTTACCTCAACCCATGTGTTCTGAATAGTCATTTTGTGGCTCAACTATTTTGTTGTAAGCTGCTTATTTGCAATTGTAATTTGACTTCTATCTCTCCTAACTCTTTTCTTGCCATCTTTGGTCATCTGATTTAGCAGCATGGATCCTGTTCTTGTCTCAGTGTGAATAATTCTCAACTGGGTGACTCTAAACTCTATCTCCTTTCCAAATATCAGTCCTGAATATTTCTATCAAGTTGTTGCAGCAACATTATATTCCATTTGTAAGGCAAGCTGAATAATTAAATGGACTAGGAGGCAGAAGATTGATTGCTAATTCTAGGTCTTGAACTAACTGGCTGGGTGAACTTGTCAAATCATTTAAATTAATCCACTGGGAGCCAAATTCCTCAACCTAACATGAGGCAGTATCTGTAATAATGGTTTCTTAACTGCGTACAGTGTAACTTTGTACTGGAAACACAGCAAAAGGCATTATAACTATTAACGTTGCCTACGCATTACTTATACTAGAAAATAACTTTATTGAACTTAAAGGACATTGGTGAAAAATTCACTGTAATTCTCCCAAGCAGTAAAAATTGAGTCTTTGTTTAGAAAAAAATCGGTTTGAATTTTGCTACCGCAGTTCCACTGGTAATGAAATAGACTCTATGTTTCATGGGAGTGTTGTGGAAGGCAGTGCTAATCATGCAGCCAGTACTCCTAGGGAAGACTTATGTTACTGCATGGGCCGGCTTCTAAGAAAATACTGTGTCAACACTCTCTGTGTGGGTCAGTGGGCCTTGGTGAGCTGTCTCATCTGGAACAGATTACTTCAGGCTGTATTAATGTCAGGACATTCTGCCCCTCCTGACAGTTCCCAAAAACCCAGGTGTCAAGGCCTAGAGATACTAGAATGAGAACACAAGGCCCACCTGGCAAGAAGTACATGTTATCAGAGCAGGACCTAAGGCTGCACTCTCTGTAAGTCAGAGTGGGTGGTCTGGCTTAAATGGGACTTGGCATCACAGCATGCAAACTTATTAACTTCCTGGACCCATTACTGGGAATATGATATTATGTTTTTATAAAAAGTATGTTGTTTGTTTTTATGGACAATTTTATAAAGGTTCATTTCCTAATTTTTTTCTTTAAAGAAACAAAATGGTAATCTTTTCACCCAGGGCTAACTTCTACCTCTCTGTGCTTGATTTCTCGATCATTCCCTATCTGGCTAATCATCAGGCCAACCACCTAGACACTGTGAACTCGTGACCTCATGGAGAGAAGTCACAGATACACCCTATAGTTCCTAAGCAATGAGTTTGTAATCTCACTGTCTTTTCTTGCACAGTTAGCACTGTGATTCTAGCACAGCCCCACTCCCCATTTTTAACTCTGTGACTTGAATTTGAAAAGACCTGTATGCTGAGTGTTGTTTAAGGTATATGGATTTGAAGTATCTGTGGGAGCTATATGTGGGGTGCCTATATGGAAATTGGAGGCATGTACTTGCAGCTCAGAGAAGAGATCTGAGCTAGAAATATGAAACTGAGATTCATCAGCATTAGTTAGTTGTGGAGATCATTGAAGTAGACGAGATAACCTAGGGCATGTGCACAACGAGAAAACAGTGAGAAATATTAAAAGGATGAGCATGGAAGATTGAAAGTCATTCTGAGAAGGTTTTCTCTGTTTCTTTCTAATAAGATATACTCTGAAAACTATGGGTCAGCTTGTGTTATGAATGTGCTCTGACTACTTTTCCTTCCTCTTCTTTAATTTCAGCTTTGGATTGATTACATTGTCGTCACCAACTGCCTTATTAACCTCTTCTTAGTCCAGAGATAGAAAATTTCTTTTTTGGTCAGCTCAATCATTTGACTGGATTCCAAATAGTAATTTTTGAAATCTTCATTAGAAGATTTGTAGTTGGTAGCAGTTAAAGGTCTAATTCTCATTTCAGATATGGAAGTTTAGATTCATCATGTGAATAAAGCTGTGGCTCTCAACCAGGATAATTTTGCTTTTCATAGGGCAGTTGTCAAGACCTGAGACAATTTTCATGTTTACCACTGTGTATGTGAGGATGCTACTGGCATGTGGT